GCTGGTCCCCTGGCCCCCCGCCCCCACGCTCACTCTGGTCTGGGACGGAGACTGCGGGCCGAACGCTAAATCTTCCCTTCATCTTGGGATGCATTAAGCAGCCTCCTTTCGAGTCCTCCTCTTCCCCCAGGCGTTTTTTAGAGTATTATAAACATTAACAGCCACCATTTATAAGCATCTGCACCATGTCAGAGTTTACGAATGTCAACTCTTCCACACAGTGGCTGTCGGGAAGAATGGCCCAAGGTCATCTCCTGGCTGTGCCCTTGCTGCTGTGTGACCAGGCCATCTCACAACAGCCACCCAGCCCAGACCTGGGGTCCCTGGGGAATCCCCGGGCCCTTCTCCTTCATAGAGTACTCCCCCTGTGCCCGCACACATGCCACCTTCCCCGCTGGGGCAGCTACCTGGGGCACTCTCCAGGCGACTGGCCAGACAGGAAGTAGACAGCTCCGACCTCCTCTACAGCGCTTAGGCCCCCGTAGGTGTGGTGGGCTCTAGACGAGAGTCTGTCTGCGTGACTCCAGGACCGTCCCAGATGTGAGCCCTTCCCACCTCCTGCTTCCCCAGCCCCACGCTGAGCTCGGCTCTGAGGGCTGCAGGACTGGGCGCCTCTCCGTACCGTAGGGGCCCGATGCTTTCTGCAGAAATCACGTCCGTCCTAGCTGTGTGGCTCCCTCGTCTCCCCGTTGGCTGCCAGCAATGTGACATTTTCAGCTGTTCACGGGAAAGGTTCTGCTTATTTCACAGTTATCTGCTCAGCATTTTATGCTCCGGGGGCAGCTGAGATTCAAGAGATAACTGGAAAGTGGTGGGTGTTACGAGGATCCCTGAGGAGTCAGAGCCGGAGGAGAGGAGACAGGAAAGGTGCAGGAGAACGCAGAGAACGGCCGACTCGTCGGTAAAGGACATAACCACGGAAATGTTCTGCACTGAATTCATCAACCCAAGCTTTTCACTCTGTGGGGTAAGGGCAGTCATTCCCGCTTTACAGTGGGAGCTGGGAGGAGCAAGCTCCGAGGGGAGCCACCTCACCCCAGGGCACACAGGGTGGCACAGCTGGGCCATGCCAGGTTAGGTCGGGGCCAACGCCTGGAGTCTGACACACCGCCTGCACTGCCCCTGGAGCAGGAGGGGTTAGAAAACGGCACTCCACGCGGCAGAGGCTCCTCCCCTTAGGCCACAAGGTACACAGTAGCCCCCAGGACACTGGGCCCATGCAGCCTGTGCCCACCAGCCGGCCACCCTGACCCTGAAAGAAAGCCGGTCTGTAACCCCCCAGTCCATTTGGAATTCTGTAACACCGCAGACTGTTTTCAAAGTATGTATTTTATTGACCTAGATTAGTGCAAGTTGAACATAAACAATGCTTTGTAATCCAATTTATACAGCATCACGTGGGGCGGCCGTCCTAACCACAGGAACACAGGCGTGACTGGCCTTGGTAAGGACACCACGAGCACCGCCATAATCGGAAGCGATCTGAACCGGCCCGGGGACGGCCCTCAACAGTGCGGTCTCCCAGGTGCGGGCAGCTGCTGGCTTCCGTGGAGGCTGGGTCGCAGGTGTAGCAAGTTTCTGAGTTTTAGCTCCACTTTTCAGCCGTTGGCCTAAGTCCTACTAGTCCCAAGGTTTCCACGGCAATACGTGGTCACCCTGCCCCGACAGTCCCTTCAAGACAAACCTTTCTTGTACTCCCATTTTCTTCCTGACTCCAGTACCTCTCGGAAACACGGTCACACAGAACCGGGCTGGGCTTGCTGAGTCCTTCCTCTGTGCAGACTGACTCCAGCCCCATCCCCGTCACTGTCCCCCCCTCAGCAGCAGCACTGCGTGTCCCCCGGAATCACCTGCCCACTTTACTGCCAGTTCCCTCCATCCCTTAGTGCCCAGCTCTCAGGACACGTGTCAAGGCACACCTTCCTGTCCCCGGCGAGACCGGCCAGCGATGGGGTGGGATGGACTGTGATGCTTAAGAGGAGGGACTCTTAAAACCCCCTAGGTTCTGGCGGTCCACCTGGCGGAGCCCGTGAGTACAGAGCAGAGACCTTACTGCCCCTCGCTGTCCATCTGACTGACCTCATTCCGTCCCTCAGCCATCAGAGCTCTGGCCCAATGACCAAGGCTGAGGGACCAGCAGGTTGGAGGGCCAGAATCACCAGAAAGCCGGTCTCCACAGAGTAGACTGGACACCTGCCGGGCTCAACATGTCGGGACCAGAGCTTCTGAGACAGAAGACTACTTACAAATAAACAAGGAGAGGCCTTCGTTGCCCCTTTGCCGCCCTCCAGTCCCAGCTCTGCTCCTGCACTCGGCCTGTCAGGCCTCGCCTTCCCACAGGGCTCGCTGCTCGCCACTCCTCTCCCTGCGGTCTCGACCACCTGAGAGGACGAGTCCCCTGCTGTCACTGACCCTGTTCTCCCCAGTCACCCTGCAGCCTGGACTGCCTCTGCCTCCTCGCCAGCTGAGTCGTGAGCTCTGGGGGCAGGGAAGAGTCAGGGTCCCACTGAGCGCACCCATGCGTCCAAACGCCTGCAGCCCCTCCGTATGCCCTGAGGTGGGCTGGAGGCCACAGGGAGCCCTCACAGGGATGAGGCAAACAGGACGTCGCCGCCACAACAGAAGCCCGTGTGCGGACTGAGGAGACCACAGGAACAGCGTCCTCTGTGGCAGCGATTCAGGCCTCTCATCAGGGTTGGAGAAAGGAGTAAAGGAGGAAAAAGGCTTCTTGTGATGAAACCATGCCTGGGCTGCTCCAGGGAGTGACACTGTGAAGTCAGCCAGCGCAGGGGTCACTCAGCGCATGGTCAGCCAGCGCAGGGCCACTCAGCACAGTCAGCCAGCGCAGGGGCCACTTGGCGCACCGTCAGCCAGCGCAGGGCCACTCGGCACACAGTCAGCCAGCGCAGGGCCCACTCAGTGCACGGTCAGCCAGTGCAGGGGCCACTCAGCGCACTATCAGCCAGCGCAGGGGCCACTCAGCACACAGTCAGCCAGCGCAGGGCCACTCAGCGTAGTTGGCCAGAGCAGGGGCCACTCAGCACACAGTCAGGCAGCGCAGGGGCCACCCAGCACACAGTCAGCCAGCGCAGGGCCACTCAGCGTAGTTGGCCAGAGCAGGGGCCACTCGGCACAGTCAGCCAGTGCAGGGGCCACTAGGCGCACTAAGTTCAGGAGCCCTTCCCTCACTCCCGACTACAGCTAGCACTAGGTCTGTGCCTCGTCCAGGTGTCCAGGGTCACAGGCACCGGCAGGCCCAGGCAGCGAGTCCCACTTCTCTGCTTGCTCTTGGCACCACTGGGAGGCAAGGCATCTGTCGCCATCTGGGTCTCCGTCAGAAACCTGAGAAAGGGGTGCTCAGGAGGATGTGACGTCGAGTCTAAAATGAACAGCTCTACTGAGAGGACTTTTCTTTTTAAAATCACTCTCTCCTACATGTCCTTAGCAATTGACTTTTTATTTGTTTTGGTTTTTGGGCAAAGTTCTGGTGACACTCACTGCAACTGCGGCCCTACCCTGTGGGGCCCATCCACATCTAGCGGCCATCCTAGGGCCTGTGAGGAGCGGCCTCTCATCCGCTGGGCTGGGCCCAAGGCCCGTAAGCACGTGCCACTCCATTGCCTTTCAGTGGGTTTTATCTGCGCCAAGGGGAGAGCCAGTGCCAGATCAAGAGCTCCCCTGGCCCGACAGCTCTGGTAGAACAGCAAGGCCTGAATTTGGAGGCAAAGTCTTAAAGGTTTGAGCACCATCTTCTGGTCAGTTGTTGGCTTCCAAGGCTGCCTCTCCTTTAAAGCTGTATTTATTTCAGAATGGAAGATCCCTGAACTTGTGAGGAGCTCAAGTGACTGCATATCAAAAGGAGGACAGGACCGGAGGCAGTACTGGCAAGCCGGCAGGGCGGCAGGGCGGCAGGGCGGCAGGGCGGCT